TTCCCTACATTATGCCCAAATTTGGAAAACCCATATCTGCACTTCCACTCTCCTCTTTCTCCCCCACCCATAAATGTTGTTCTTCGACCTACACTTCGCACCTCTAAATCCCTTGCCCCTTCTCTGTTATGGTGTCCTCCACACATTCCCTCATACTGTGTCCTGACCCGAGGTCTTGACCACCAACAACTGCTCATTGGCTCCACTGATGAGAATTCTTCAAAAGTGCTCTTTGTAAGTGCTTCTAGGATTATGGTAGCGCTTTTTGCATGGGTGGTTCATCTACCACCATTCCTTTCTAAACATTAGTCTGTCTGGTTACTGGTTATCTATCTCTGATGGTTATGGATCTACGATGGCGGCGTGACAAGTGGGAAGTGGCGGTTGCAGCTTATCAGATTTACTGTGAATCACTGTAAGCTATGCATGATAACTTTTTCACGTGGCAGTATGTTATTAGCTGGGATAGCAAAACGATATTATCCTCGTTTCACACAAGTTTTTCTGCCACTATTGGTCTATATAAACTGTACATATTAAAGAATGATCACCATGAAACTCCTATTTTTGGTGAAGCAATTTGGTTGTGGATAAATTTGCAGAACTGGGTGTTCAAGACACTAGCCACCTTCTGTGATGAACTAATTTTGTTTGATAATTACCAAAAAAATACACAACCACATCACATATGTTTACCAAGAAAAGATACAGAAATATAAGCACGAACAGATAATTATAAAACTTGATTAATTAAGCATGTTCTGCTAACCTTCCTGTGACTGCAGAGAGTACTGAGGAGAATGCTATTGCTGTAAAAGAGAAAGAGAGAGAGAAAGAGATAGAGCAATGAAGAGTGATATATTTATCAATTCTAAAAAAAGTAATTAATTAGTTATATGAGAGAGAGACCAGACCAAGTGACCCATCACCCACAATTGTAGAATCATGGCAAATATTTTTTTTTAAAGCAATGGTCCAAATTACTCTACGAAAATGAGGATTCAAACTTAAGTACAAGGGAGCGGGTTTACTGCCCTAGTCAATTAGTGTAACCCACAGAATCATGGCACATTCTGATTAGATGTTATATGATCATCAAATATTAAGGGGGTGTTCAACAGGTTCAGGTATATGGGAAGGGGTTATGCTAATTAACAGTTGGTTAATTAATTGGATCCATAAACAAATGGTTGGTTGGCTCTAATGTCCATATATAATAGGAACGTGACTTTTTGTTTGGGCTTGGCCACCTGCATCAGCATTACTATAATAATTACTGGTTTCGTGTATGCATCTTGAGCAGTTTTATATTACATAACAGGGTTCTAATAAGGACATTGCAGCCAACGAAACAAAAATCTAATGAAGACAAACGTGGAATATTATCATCAAATCCTAGACACATGTTCTGTCGACATAGATATTAGTCTCCCTAGTGCCATGAACACTAGTGGAATTCCAGCATATACGATATGAGTATCTTCTAGTCTTTTCTAGTTCTTGGTTTTCTGACTATTGTCGAGTCGACTCACTCCACAAATCATTAATTTTCAATACAAACAAGAAAGTCATTGTCTCAACTTACGTAATCCAACTCGTTTTTACCTTTAATATTCCTTTTTCGACCCATAAAAGGAAAAAAAAAATCGAATTGGCTGAACCCCAACAACAATACATATGTTGCGTGATTAAAAGACTCAAAAAAAACAAAACAAAACACAAATTATTGTGTTTTCCGATTTACATGGAGTGGCTGCGTCTGTTGTTGTTGTTGTTAACATCGTTAGCAATAACAAATCATGTTTCATGTTCATGGGATTTGGAGGCTGGTCCGAGTTTGGAGCTGAATCAACTAAGTCGGGAGCTGCTGGACTCGGCGAGGCAGCCCGAGTTCTTTGATTGGTTGAAAAGGGTTAGGAGGAGGATCCACGAGAACCCAGAGCTGGCCTTCGAGGAGCACGAGACGAGTCAACTCATTAGATCGGAGCTCGACTCGCTGGGGATCCAGTACACGTGGCCGGTGGCGAAGACTGGGTTGGTGGCTTCTATTGGCTCTGGGGCACAGCCATGGTTCGCTCTGAGGGCCGACATGGATGCTCTCCCAATTCAGGTTTGCCAATATCCTCTCTCTGAGAGAGGAAGAAGCGGAAAAGAGAGAAAAGAGAGATTTGAACCCAAAAAAAAATCAGAGAAAAAGAAAGTGTGCGTGTGGAATTTTTTAATTTTTTTAATTTTTTAATTGTTTTTTGCGATGGGAGGTGGAACACTTTTCTTTTCTTCCCGGATTTGAGAATTTTTTGAAGTTTTAATTTTGTTAACATAATAATAATAATAATATTAGTGAAACATACAGCAAAAATAAAAAAGATTTGATTAAAAAATACAAAAATAGAGAAGGTGAGAGAAGTA